CCGTGTCTGTGTGGGGGAGCCTGGTGGCTGCGGGTGGGCGGGTGTCACGGCCCCGGGGACCCCCATCCCCCCGCGGGGGAGCTGCCCCCGCCCCGGGCAGGTGAGCCGGGTGGCACACGGGGCACCCCGGGTAACCCCCCTCAGCCCTGGGACCCCCAGCAAGGTGTGGGGCTCTGCGGGACCGCGGGGCCCAGGTGCCCCCTGCTCGAGTGCCCCTCACAGCAGGGAGACTCGTGCCCTTCTATTGCAGTTGTGTGACCCGTGGTGCTTTGTGATGCTCCTCACGGGGGGCCTGTAAGGAAGTGAGGGGGGGGCTTTTCACAAGGACGTGTAGAACGGGATGAGGGGTAATGGTTTTAAGCTGAAATAGTAGACTTGGATGATATGCGAGGAAGAAATCCTTTCCTGTGAGGGCGATGAGGCACTGGAGGAGGTTGCCCAGAGAAGGTGTGGGTGCCCACTCCTGGAAGTCTTCAAGGCCAGGTTGGATGGAGCTTTGAGCAACCTGAAACTAGATGATCTTTAGGGTCCTTTCCAACCCAAACCTTTCTGTGATCCTGACACACAGTATGGAACTTGGTCCTAACTTCTAGAAGATGTATTACTGAGCTTATGTTATTCCTTTGATCCAGGCAGAGACCTTCAAACCCAAAGAAGATGTCAAGACGCAGGTAAGCTCTTGGCATCATAATACACCAACCTGATCTCTGTTCATCTTATTACTGCTACTCCTAATGTTCCATGTCTCTTTGCTCCTTGCAGCAGCCGTTTGCAAGCCAAGCAGCAGCAACCACTGTTATGCCAAGAAGAGTCTCCACAAGAACTGCAGGCATCAGAACATCTCCAGACAAGAAAAAGGAGAACAGCAGAGGTGATCAGTTTGGGCAACCTGAGAAGTTTAATGATACTGAAAGTCGTTCAGTGCATTTCGGTGGGATAATCTCTACTCTGCTGGGTTAGAAAGTAGGACAGGAGTAGCAACACCTCACTTTAGCTTTAGAGGTGGGTGTGCTGGTTGTTGTCAGTGTGTTCATGTGTGTTTCTCATCTCAGCAGGAGATTAAGAAGAGAGAAGATGGGAAAATGGCTAAAAAGCATCAATATGAGATTAAGGTAATTCAATCCTGATTACCAGTTCAAACTGGGTGAGGGAGTCCATCTGTTTATATTGGTGAGAGTGAAGTCATGCATTCCACACTAAAAAGTATTCAACACGGGAAGATTCTACCTTCAGATATTAAAAACTATGGGAGCTCTGCACCTTAGCATCCTTTAATAAGCTTTTGCTTTTTCTACACATGGATTTGTTGTAGAAAAAGGGCCCTTCTATGTGGAAACCACTGCAGTGTAAGGTTAGATATAAAAAAATAATAAAACCAGATATTTCAGAATAATTCCATATGCAGAGCAGGTAAGGCTTAAAGGCAAGTCTACACAAGATCATTGCACTTGTTTTAACTTAAGGTGTGGTTTCATGGCCATTTAGTTAAGACAATGCATAGCCATGCAAGCCCCCTCTTTACTTTCATTTAACAGTTCTTTTGATTACTTAAATCAATTTAGGAATCTGTTTTAACTTACGTAGGCTACTCCTAAACCAAGTGAGGGGCTTTACAAAGTTTTTTTTTAAAGTGGATTAGTAAAAATAAAAAGACTAGTTCTGTTTCTAAAGCAAATGAGATCGACAGCTGTGGTGAAGGAAGGCTCTTCTGGTTGTGAAGTTGCCTTTGCAAACTTGTGTAGAGGAAAGTGCTGTCTAAGTGCATCAGCTGTACTTGGGGTGAAACTGTGTGCCAGGTTTACTTTTGACAAGGGGGAAATCCTGCTCCCATCTCACTTTCATTGATGGCTGGCCATGTACTCCATCCACTGCCTTTCTTAATTTTTGGTTTCAAAGATCGATTCTGGTGGAATATGTAACTTCACTGAGGGTACTGTAGTCTGGCTACAAGTGGGGTTAGTTATACAAAGGAAACCGTATGTAGTTTACCTTGCAAAGCAGCTATACAGGAGAAGCTTCTGTGCTCAGGGGCAAGTGTTGCCATTCTTTGGGAGTGGGATCCCCCTAACTCCACAGGTCATACTGGGAGTTCTGTGTCACCATTTTGAAGGCTGTCAGCCATTACAGTGTTGCATATGCTCCATGCATTTGATACCTTCTTACTTGTGTTTGTTATGTACAACCAAATAAGTATTAGGGAAACAAGTTACCACATTTAACTGATGCAGTCTAGAGTCCCTTCTCTGAAGCTTTCTGCATTAATAAGGGTAGGCTCTTCTCCTTTAAAGTCAGTACATCCCATATTTGGCATTGTCAGGCTGAGAGATAGTTCACAGCTGCTGCTTGCTCAGTGGGTATCTAGCTCTGGAGCTGAGATGGGTGGCTCCTCTCTGAAGCCCTAAATTGGAAGATAACAAGTTGCTGAACTTCCAGAGAGACAGTAGAACCTCCACCCTCTCTTTTCCTTTTCGGAGTAGATAAGTAGATATGACTAGCAACCTAATGCCTTGTGCTTTAGGAGCAATGAGTACCTTTGCATTATGTACCCCAAGTGAGCAGCTCAAGCGAGGGATAGGTTGCTTTTGAGTTCATAAACTAAAGACAGTTGTCTTCTTCAGAGCTGGGTTTCCCAAATTTACCAGATTTGTTCCTATGTGTTCCATCATGATGATAAAAGGCTTTGTTGGCATTTGATCTCTGTCTTTCTTGGATGTGGTACTCGAGTTGATGTTGAGGTCCAAAAAGACTTAACATACATTACATATGTTGTTGTTGTTACTGTAATTTACTTTTTGCTTCTCTTGCTCTCGTAGTAAAATCAGTGTTTGAAAGATACCTTGTTTATGTTGCAGAGTTGTTGGCCGCCCACGATAACAGGAGGCATCTCACCTTGCATAATTATTGAAACGCCTCACAAAGAATCAGTAACCACTGACTTCTCAAGATTCAAAAAATACAGGTTCAGAAACCTCTTCATAAACCCATCACCTTTGCCAGAACTCAAGTAAGTTTATCAGGCACAGCAGTTGTTGATGTTTTATCAAACATGCTGAACTATTGTAGTAAAATCTGTTTCTGTATTGTGTTTGTAGAACAGGGACAGTACTCAACCCATATCTCTGCTTGTCCCTTCCTCCCACAAACAATTCCATTTCCAAAAAACCAAAAAAGTCAGAAATTCTGAGTGTGTTTTTTTCCCCCCAGTCTTACCAGACAGGTAATTTTAGCCTTTGAGAGCTATCCTTTTATAACTTACAACTGGAAACTCTAGTGTTTAAGAGGCACGTAATGGTCAAACTAAACTTCTTTCAGTGCTATTGGAACTGAGTGACCAGAAAACACTAAACAAATTTTTCTTTAAGAACTTAAAAATGTACAAATACGCAAATAAACTTGTGGCAATGTTGCTGTGCAGGTAGCACAGTAATGCAATGCAGTATGCTTGGTGCAGTCACAGTTCTGGAAATTTTCCCTTCTGCAAAAGGATTGATTAGCTGAATAAACTGGATTTTTCACTTTCTGAATTTCTTAACCATTCATGTGTTTTAGGTAAGTGCCCCTGTTGCTGTTTGTATCAGCCTAGTGTTTAATGCAGGAGTTATTAAATTTACTGCAATGCATTAGGGAAAACTTCTGCAGAGGTGAATAAGAAGCAGAACACAAAGCATCAATTTAAGAGGAACTTTCTAGATAACACCATGTTTTTACTTGTTCAGGCCAAAACTTGATTGGAGCTGGGAGATGCTGCATGTTTTCCATCAGTGCAAAGCAATAGGTCTCTTACTCTCTCTTTCACTGAGTTTCAACCTCAGTTTCTCCTCCCTCTCAGTTGTTACTCCCAAGCTGCTGATCTGTGCTTGAAAGAAGAGTAAGCTCTTTGATGTGCCTCAGAAATCACACCTTTGTATGTGTTGGAAGGCTTGGTAGAAAGTAGGGGTTTTTAAATATCTAAAGAAAGGGTAGTGAGTGAAGGAATTCCATGCTCTCCTTTAGCAAGTTGTTGGAAAGTGCTGGATCCCAACAATCGTTCTGATACTGAATTCAATGCAAGGAGTTTAATCCTTGATGTTCACCTCTTGTCAGTAGGCATGTGGTAAAGCTGAACTCCAGCCTTTCCAATTAGATGGATAAGAAGGTCACTTACTCTCCTGTCTTCTTCATGCTTTCCTGACTGCTGCAGGAAGATCATAATGGGAGATTTCTCCATGCCTGCCCACTTAAATGGGGAGACTTATGCACTAAACAAGGAGCTTTTAGCTTGGGTTGGCAGAATGGCACTGATCTGGGTTAGAATTTTTAGGTGATACTAGTGATCAGGTCTGATTAAGATCTCTCTGCTTCTTCTTGGGAAAGGTAAATACTCAAAAAAATTCAGTAGGGAATCAGCATTGCATCGTTTGATGTGCTGTTCCCCTTAGTAACTGTAGGGTGAGGTACACCCAAGAAAAAGCCCCCACATCAATTAATAATAACAATAATTAAAATTAAAACGAGCCATATTAATGATAGAGGCTTCTTCTTCCCACATGGGCTTGAGTGCTAATATATTGTAAGGTAGCAATAAACAAGAATTCTCTTTTTTTTTTTTTCACAGTAGCCTGTTTCTGAGCCTTAAGATAGGCTAGAAAAGGAAGAGATGGCTGAGTGACTTCTAAACACCATCTGTAAATGTTTTCCTCAAACTAAACTGGACACATTGGTGTGTTATGTTTCTTGGGGAGTGGGGTTGGTTGTTTTTTTCCTCTTTTACAAGGAAGGTTTGGGTTTTTTTTATCTCTGGACATCCACCTAACTAGGCTGAATAGGAAACGGTGTGTGCAACTTTGGGATGCACACATGCAGTTTTACTGGCTGTTCTGTAAAACTTAGACTTGCTGCTGATCTTGGCAAGCTGCTGTTGTGGTGATGTAAATGGTTCAAAGTATGCCTACAGTTTTCTAATTACCATAAAGTAATGTTTCTATACTCCTTTTGTGAAGGTGTATATATGCTTAACAGTGCTTTGTGTAACTTTATTCTGTAGCTGGGGAAATTCCAAAGATGTCTGGCTCAACATCCTGAAGAAGGAGAACAGATATACTCACTGCAAACACTTCACATCGCTGCATCCTAGTTTGCAACCTCACATGAGATCAATACTCTTAGACTGGCTCTTAGAGGTATGTTCTTCTAGTTGCTTTGCCATGTGTTACGCCTGGGAAGTTGGCAAATAAAAAACAGAAGTTTAACATAAAAATGTAATAAAAAAATATACAGTAATGATAAATGCCAAAACTAGTCTGCAACAAAAGCGTTACAAGTTGCTGCTCCTCTTGGTGAGCTACATTCAGTCTTCCCTGGCAGGAGATGCTGAACCTTCCACACAGGGCAGCAAGCAAGAGTACTTAACTTTTGCTCTTGGCACACAACTTCCCTGGGAGGAGGCAAAAATCCCCTTGTTTTGAGGTGCTTGTATTGAAGTTGCTCTAGGCAGATTAGTTGTGGAGCTCTAACTGTGCATCGTAGACTGTATCTAAACCATGAGACAACTGCATCTGTGTGGAGACCTTGAGTTATCACCCTGGCACTGTCTACGTAAAGACCTCTTACATGTCAGTTTCTGACCATATTTTCTGACTTATTGGTAATTTTTTTAGTTCTGTTCTATGAAGAGAACAGAAGGAAGTAGTGCATTAGTGGCTGACATCTGAAGGCTCTTGGTATGGGCACGTGCTTCTTTGAAAAGGATTACAAATCATATCTGTGTTCCAGTCTAATTGCTTTTCTTCAGACTATTCCAGTTGTCAAACAACATGGAAGCTCTCCATCTTGGCAGTCTATGTGAAGGAGTTGTGTTCTGGAGACACTTCCAAAAACTCTGTGTTGAGTTTACCACTGCCAAAAGGAACCTTTGACTAGTGCAGTCCTTGCCCATCAGCAGAAGGGAGCTTGCAGGTTTGCCAGTTCCATATAAAATATTCCAGGGAAGCAGATACTACAGTGGCACTCTTGCTCTCTTTCTGGAACAGTGCTAATAGCAGGGAATTTCAAGGGAAAGCAAAGGTGTGGGTTTTTTTAAATAAATATGGTCCAAATATAAAAATTATTCCAGTTGTGCACTTCACTGCTTCCTGTATTGTGTAATTTACATACCACCATTTCATTGCATTTTAAAAAAAAAATCGGGCACTTAGGAATTCATCCAATATCCAAATAAAAATGTCAACAAGGGCCTTGTTCAGCTCAGTGGTTCTGTGTGCCACACTGGATTAAAATCCAAGCGTCTTTGAGAGTCTTCCAGTGTCTCCTTATGTTGTCTTCTATGACATCATAACACAGATGCTGTTTAACATGACCCAGCATCATTACTTTTGGGCAGTACAATTTTATAGAAATTGTGCCATTTATTCATTACTGGGCCTGGTCTGTGTGTTTGTAGTACTGAATCTTGTTTGGAGTAGTGGTTGTAATATCAGAGTAGCACATCAAATGGCAAATATTAGATCAGGTCTAAAAGAATGAGCTGTAGTGTTACTGCCAGCCAGTTGCATTTTTGATGGTCAGAAAGGGTTTTAATTTGTAAATGGGCTTTCAACCTTATCTTAGGAAATAGCTGGTGGTAGTGAGATTTTTATTCTGACTTTGTATCAAGTGAAATAATGAGGCAGGGCAGGAAGCTTGGACTTGAGAGCTGTTTCTTGGATATTCTTTCCTGTTGACTGAACGTAGATTGTAAGTAGTTTATAGATATCTAACTAGCTGTTGGAGGGATACAGAGTTGCAGATAAGTTGAGTTGTGGTAGACCCACCCGAATTCAGTTAGAGATTGGAGGAAAGAGTAGTCCCCTGCTTAAGATCTCCAGGCCTGGGCAGTTTCCTTTCTTGTTGAACTGGCATTTGAACCACTTTGATACAATGCAAGTATTTAAAAGGTTTCCCTGGCAGGGAAACCCACAACTGTGTGGAGCAGATGGCTGCTCTTGAAGTTTTGTTCCTGCTTAGTGAGGCTGTTGGTGTGCCTGAGGGGCTGCAGGAGCTTCTGGGCTAATTGCTGCAGAGCCAAAAGGCTTCAGGTTTTGTAGTGGTTCTGCCCTGGGACAGACCTACTAGGAATACAGGGAGGATTTGCTCACTGACTTCAACTTGAGGTTTGAGCCCAGAGTATTCTTAATCAAGCAAATCAGTGGGGTTTTTTTATTGGTTTTTTTTTAATTATTTTTTTTCCTTCCTCAATGAAGCTTTCTTATTTCAGTGGAAAACTGTACTTATTTATAGGTAAATTGGATGCTGCTTAGTATGCAAAAAGTATGCTTTGGAAATATTTTAGTGCATCATAGATAATCCATGTGTAGGGGAGAGGATGTGAAATAGTTTTTACAGTCCCATACTAACTATATCCTAAGACATCCTAACCTACCCAGGTAGGTCGGTGTGTGCAAAAGATAAAATCATGCATATTGTGTTTTACTATTAAAGCTTGAATACTCCAATGTGTGAACAGAGGTGTTTTTTGTAACAGAAAACTGAATTATTTTTTTCCCATTTTAGGTATGTGAGGTGTATGCACTCCACAGGGAAACCTTTTACCTAGCTCAAGACTTTTTTGATAGATTCATGTTGACACAAAAGAATGTTAACAAGAGCATGCTTCAGCTCATAGGAATTACCTCATTATTCATTGCCTCCAAACTTGAGGTAAGAAGCTCTGTTACAGGAAACTAAGTTTGGAATAACTGAAAGTGATGATGTACTTGTTTCTTCTGTCTGAATCTTTTGAACTTGGTGGTGTACATACAGCACTGAAGGTCAGAAGGGGAAATCTTTTCCAGTGGGTGTGGAACTTGAATAAAACCAAGCCTAGGTCTCAAACTGCTAGTGCATCAGGCTCATACTGCTATAAACCCCTTTAGTGGAGGCTTGTTTTTTTTTAAAGTGCTGTAGTTCTGATACGTTACATTGTGCACTACACCTGCAAGCCAAGAGGGCATGTTTTTGTATAATGCCTGGTGGGCTAGATTGAAAGGAAAATCTGGGATATTAAGTTTCTATACTTGGAAACTCCCTGATCCTAGCTGTTGTTCCTAAAGCCAAGGTAGTACACTACAAGCAGTTGTCCATCCTAAGGAAGTGTGTGTGGCATCAGGCTGTGGAGCCAGCTCATAGAGGAGCACTTCTGCTGGCAAGTTCTCTCTTACTAACACACTTAGCTATAGGTGGCCCAAACTGGCGTGACTGGGTTAGCAAATGTCTTTGTTAACCACCTCTGCACCATGGATTTTGCCAGCTACAGGGGCTGTGGGATTTTGTCATCTTTTTCTTTAAAAAAAAATAATTTAAAAATCTGTGTGACCACATCAGCACTTGACGTGGCATCAGCAGGGTGTTTCTAGCACAGCAGTGTGCTGTGAGAAGGGGACAGTGTGTGTTTTTACATCAAATGGAATGGCTGAGTAGAAAATGATACAAATGAAAAGCTGTTCCGATTGTTTGGTCACCATTTATTCCTCCAAAAGCTAAAAAAAAAGGCAATAAATCTATGGTGTTTTACATCACACAACATACAACCTACTTGTTTTTATTATCTCCTCATCCTGTAAGTTTCATCACTTGGTCAAACAAGAAAAGCACTATTGTAGCATAAGAAATGTTAATATTTCTGTACCTACAGAAAAGTATTTGTCAGTTTCTTTTCAAGCTTTCTTAGAACTGCAAGGCACTCTAATCTTCACTCTTTCTGCCCCTTCCCTTCCAAGGAAATCTATGCTCCTAAAATACAGGAATTTGCCTACGTCACTGATGGTGCTTGCAGTGAAGATGATATTGTAAGAATGGAACTTATTATGTTAAAGGTAATAACTGCTGGTTCTGTAAGTGCTGGTTGGAAGACTGTCCAGCTGAGCTTTGTATTTTACTGTCACTTAGAAACAGGACATATTTAGAATGTCCCTCTTTCTTCAAAACAATGAAACCTTCATTGTGTGTGCAGTGGACCTCTAAAGCCCCTGGCTGGGGTATAATCCCTCTCTGCTAGAAAAGGACAAGCTTCTCATGCATATATGAAAGTACTTACCAGGTACAGCCAGCCACAGGACAGACCAGAGGGCTGTCACTGTCATGTGCTATACCTGCCAACATCCTTTGCTGTCCAGGAACAGGGGCCTCTAGGACCAGGCAAAGAAACAACACTGCTCAGTGTTCCTTCTGTTGGAAAGGATCCATCTTTACCATCACAGAATGCCTTGTACATATATTCTTCCTTAACAGATACAAGCTGCAGGTTCAGACAGCTAGTTTGAAGGCTTGGGGGAAATGCCCCAATTTCCCAGCTTCCAAATGGGGAGGGTGCAGAAGGTTGCATGCACAGACATGGAGATACATTTGTGTGGATTGTTATACAGCCCGTTCAAAAAGTAGGAGAGTGCAATCTAAAATGAGCAGTGATCTCTTCTTGAAATTGTAGGTGATCTTTAGTGTCTTTTCAGGATCTGTGCAATAAGCTGAACAAACTCAGAAGGGGAGGCATGGGAAAAGAGATCAGGGCACATCACTGTCCTTATCTGGTTTAAGGTGCTCACCTGTTTGTTTAATAATTACAGGCTTTAAAATGGGAACTGTGTCCAGTGACAATCGTCTCTTGGCTGAACCTCTATCTTCAAGTGGATGCTCTGAAGGATGTTCCAAAAGTGCTGCTACCTCAGTATTCTCAGGAAAAATTCATTCAGATAGCACAGGTTGGTAGGAAAATGCAATGGAAACTGCTTATTGGGGAGATTAAGGCACAGCTGAATGTGACACCCCAGAAGCCATTAAAGAAGGCTTTTCCTTGTTTCACCTCATGTCTTACTTGGTTAAGGAATGTTCAAGTTTGACTGCCAGAGAACTTCATACAGAGTTCTGAGCAGAAGCACCCTTGTGCTTCCTGTCTCCCTGCTCTCGTGTATTTTAAGACTTTTCTGTACACTGGAAAAATAAAAAAAGCATCTTTTTTTTTAATTGCTGAGTACCACAGCAGCAACAGCTCTTAGGGGTGGGCAATGCAAGTGCTGCAGTTAACTGTTTTTACCTGTATTAAGCAGCCTGAGGAGTGTTTTGACTGCTTTGAAACTGCTGTGGTTCAGTTTTTATGGCCACGTGATGTGTCCAGCCTTAGAGTGGCTTTCTGAAGAGCAGACTGGTTTAGGTCACAGAGTTGCTAGATAATATTCTAATATAGGGAAGCAGCTTCCTGGAGCTCTGTTTAATAAGAGTTTGAACACGGTGTACTTAAATCTGTGCCAGTAAAGTGCCAGCATGTTGCTGGTGAAAGTGCAGCTTGGTTTGCATCATAACTCTTGAGACCCCCTGTAACTGCAGCTGGTGCCAAGAGGAAGTTAGATGGATGCAGCTGATGCTAAAAAGCTCAGCCATGTTAGAGAGCACAGATTGCAGGAGCACTGCTGTGTGGAGAGCAGTTTCTGAGACAGGCTTATACTGAAGTATCATCTTGTTAAAATTTGTAACTCTTAGGTGCTTCACTTTTTTTTTTTTTTTTTCTCTTTTTTTCTCCTTAGCTCTTAGACCTGTGCATTCTGGATGTGAATTCCTTGGACTTCCAGTACAGAACACTAGCTGCTGCAGCACTCTGCCACTATACCTCAACTGAAGTAGTTAAGAAAGCTTCTGGTAATGAGCCTTTGTAAAGCTTGGCCTTGTTGGGCAGGGAATTCTGAAAGCTGCTACATGCCTGGGGCTGCTAAGAGTGTGTGATTGGTTTACCAGGCTGCCAGAGAGCCAAAGCTGCGTGGACACCAATAGTTTGTTCTGTTCTGTGGGTGGTGGTGGTTGTTTTTTTTTTTTCCTTAATTTCACTTCCTTCCACTGTTTCAGATGTTAGGAAGATTCCAAAAAAGAAGGAAATGCTCCCAGAGCATAGCCCTAGATAAGGAATTTAAGCAGATTTGCTCTTCTTGCTTTTGGGATAATACTATTGCTTTGTGACTTCCAGTTGTTTGGGGGACAGTTAGCCATACAGTATTTGGCTACTTTTTCTCTTAAAATGGTAGTTATCAAGCAGCCATCCTTGTCTGGCAGCAGTATTCAATTAACCTGTGCGTTGGCATTAGCATTTTTTTATTGCCTGAGGGTACCATCAAGGTCTGTGCTAGGAGGGTATGTTTTTCTACTGTGAACCAAAATCTTGTGCTCAAGATGAAAATGTAACTTCAGCCTCCCCTGGTAAGCAACAGGAACCCTTGCGGCCAGAGAGCAGCTTTGCTCAGGAAGCCTGAGCTTACCATTCACCCTGGAGGGGTTGAAGATGTGTAGATGTGGTGCTGAGGGACACAGTTGAGTGGTGGACTTGGCAGCCTTTTGAGAGGTCTTTTCCACCCCAAAGGATTCTATCATTCTATCTGCCATAATGCTTTTAAGTAACAAGCACAAGGAAATCCTGGGAGTTTCTGGGAGGATGGTTTTGAATTTTTATCTGCAGTATTATTTGTTAGGTTTTTTAAATTTATGGGCACTTTGAAACACTGTGAAAGCCACCCCTGCCACCCCTCCTGATTTCTAAATATATTACTGTGCTTTACCCTCTAGGCTTAGATTGGGACAGCATTTCAGAGTGTGTAGAATGGATGGTTCCCTTTGTGAACGTGGCCAAAAAAGTCTCAGTGAAGCTGAAGAACTTCAAGAAGGTTGCTGTAGAAGATCGACACAATATCCAAACACACACCAATTACTTGGACATGCTGGTAGGTGGTTTGTGAAGCACATTGCCCAGCCCTTCTCCTGAGGCCGCCAAGCCTGGTCAAACACCTTCCTGCCCCCACCTGGCCTGGCTCACCCTGGCCAGTGTGGTCACTGGTGCCCCACCTTTTGTATAGTGCTGATGCTTGATAATGCTGTAAACTAAAAGTGTTCTACTATAATACAGGCTGTAAACCGAGACTTGGATTAGAAGTACAGGTGACCCTGCTCTGGCAGAGGGGTTGGACTAGATGATCTTTTGAGGTCCCTTCCATCCCCTAGGATTCTGTGATTCTGTGTGAAGTTTTTAAAAGATAATTTTTTTTGTGTTGTGCAACACTCCCTTGGTTTTATTCAGTATCCTAACACTGGGTACTTCACTTGTACTAGCAGTGTGAGGAAGCACAGCACTGCCTAGTACTACTGGAAGAGAAAAGTAGATCTTGCCACAGGTGTTAACTGTCTGCTTCCTCCCCGCTACACAGGAAGAAGTTAACAGTGGAGTAGCATCTACTGCCCCAGGTCAGTTATCGCCTGTGTCAACAGGAGGGATAATCACACCTCCCAAAAGTACAGAGAAGAAATGAAATACGGACAAACATCACAAACTGTTTCAGAAACAGAACTTGGTGCTTCAGAACAAGGCTGTAAAGGAGACTTGTGCTCTTTACTGCTGTTGAAGACTTGAGCAGTACAAGATGCAGCAAACAGAGCAGCTAGATGGAAACTGAGACCAATATCCTCCTACAGACTTGATTAAAGATTTTAGACCAAGCATTCCTCCATGCTATCATAGGAGCCTGGATTACTTTGGACCATTCTCAGACACAACTTAGTTTACTCTAACCATTCCTAACTTATGAATTTCAAGTACTTTTTAAACATGGTTGTGTGGCAAAATTTGTCCATGCAACGTATGTGTCAAACTTGCTTTACCTTGGATTAGCAGTACAGGGGAATTTATGACAGCTTGTACATATTTACCTCTTCTTGACTTGGCTGTTCTTTTTTTTTTTTGGCAAGGTCAGAGCTTAATGCCTGTTAGTCACCAGGAGCTCAGGTGCAGTATTACAGAGGTCAGTGGGTGCACAGTTTGCTTTTCTGAAACCACTCTGCCTTCATGTTAGTGTCCTTAGCTCTGTATCAAATTCTAGCTCCACATGAGGCTGATTAATTTAGGGTGACCCTTTAGGGCTGCCATAAACTTCAGTTCCAGTGTAGCACTGGCCTCAGGTAAGAGTACAAGCAAAGAAGGTGCTGCTGAACTACCCTCAACTGGAAGAATTTACAGTCCTGGGAGGAAGGAGTTTTATTTTATACAATCCAGCCACCAACTTTCAACAAGAACCAACCTAACAAGAACTGGAGAGGGTACGGGAACAAGTGAATTGCTGGTACTCTACAACCACTCATGTTGTAGGAACAGTATTTTAAACTAAACTGTGGAGCTGTATTTTATCAGTGTTTATAAACAGCATTAACTACTGTTTTCCTTGGAATATTCACTACCTCTGCCTCTGAGGTGCTTCACTTCTGTGAGGAGGGGACAGGACTGGGAAAGATGGGTATCAGTCCTCTTCCCCACTGTGTCCCTCATCCAGGGACAAGTTTTACATGACATTAAGCAGTCTGAAGCTGCACTGGAGCATTGGGTGCCACCCACATCCACATTACACTCTTATGTTCTTTGCAAACTTGAATTCCTGTCTTCTGCAAACAAGCCATTGTGGAACTAGCTGAAGTTGTTTCCAGCCTTCTGTACAGTTTGTAAAAATACAGGGTTTATTTTAAGATTTCATCTATTTCTAAAAAGAAAGATACTAGACTGTAAATGTTGTATAAAACTTGAAATGAATTTTAAAATAAAGTCTTGAAAGTTTTTTTCACTTCCACGTATTTTGTAATAGCCTTCTAGCATTAGGCTAGAAGTAAAGTTTTGCCATTGCTTGAAGAAACTTCTTTTTCCTTCTCTGTGCAGCAAGCTGTAGCACTTCCTCAGGATTACTGGCATTCAGCTCTGTCTGCCCGATGGCTTTTATCTGAAAACAATAGAGGAGACATCACTAGCAACAGTCACTCTAAGTAAAGCTGGTTCATTACACAGCATTTTCAGTGCTAGTTCAACCAGTGTTTTTTTCCCTGTAACACACTGTGTCACCCCACTACACTTTACATCAGCATCCAACCTTGATTATGAATTACCCAACAAAATTACAGCTGAAGTGGCAGTTCTTTCCAAAGATGGTTTCAAGGAGGGAAAGACACACTAAAGAAATCTCAAATCCTGAGGCACCCTGTGTTCACTCACCGCTATCTGCCGCTTGTCTGTCTCCCCTCTTTTGTGGTGGAGATCTGAGGGTGAGTCAAGAAAAGACACCTGGGTAGGAAACAGACTTTTTCTAGCCATAAACATCCAACATAAGCTTTCTGTAGTGCTATTCTAGTGAAAGGATACATGTTAAATACTCCAAGATAGTGACATCCCAGATGTATTCATAGTAAGAATCCATGGCATCATGGCTGAAAGAGAACACAGGTAGATGATCTCACACATTCACAGGGTGTGTACATGTTTATAAACTCTGCTGTAACATTCACCTGTTCTGTTCCTGCAATGCTTTAAATGCAGTTTTGTAGTCTACTTCTCTGAGGAACTGGCACAAAATAGCTACCTGTAAGGGAAGACTCACAGGTGACTTTCACAGCATAAATGTCTCACCAGCTTCCACAAACTCGCAGTAATCCCACCCCAAGGCCAGACCCAGCCACGTGCTGATCTCCATGGCAAGCAAGTTACAAGCACTGAACTTAGAGAGCCCACAGCTCATTCTGAAATAGCAACAACAGTAGCAGCTAAGAGGAAAAATGTTTTTTACTCAAGTCTGAAGGGACTGAGCTGGCTTCCAAGTTTCTAAATGCATTTAATAGCTCTTAAATAAGAGCTTGATATAAGCCTTGTTACACTTCTTGAGAATGAACACTCCCTGTGAACAACATGTGGTTACCATGAAGAACAAGGCCAGGTTCCCAACACTGCCCCACAGATCCCGTGCTCTCAACCTTGCCTGAAAATAGTCACCTCTCTCCTAAGAGAAAAATGGGACAAAAAACCCAAAGACCCAAACTATTTCTACTTTGTACATTTCCAAATATCTGTTTGCTCATTAGAGTTCTTCTCTAGAGTCCTAGAAGCAATAGTAACAACAAAATATTTTATTGCAAATTGCATTACAAGGGAAGTTGGATTCAGTTTTACTTTCTAAAAAATCCTCCCCCCTTTTAACATAAAAATATGTATAAAGTAATGTTTTACTTAATGCCATGTTCCACCTCTTACCTGGGTGTGACAGTTGAGTAAAGAACAGCACTTGATCATTCTTTTTATCACCTACAGAATGGTTAAAAACCAAAAAGTTTTGAAATGCTAGTACTGGAACACAAACAGCAATTTTACTCTTTATTTTTAAATACAAAGACCAGCAAGATAACCAGGTACATTCCTCTGACACTCCCATGCACAGACAATTCCTGGGTTTTAGCACATCCACTGATCAACAACAGACCTGCCACCACTTCAGACCTCAGGTGAGGATGTGCTGCAGAACAAAGCACCGTGTTTCTGGTAAGAGCCGGGCTGTGCTCTGCTGAGGAGCTGCACCCTGATCTCCCGCAGCCGCAGGAACGGGCTGACCCGGCTGGGACCAGCAGGGGGAGCGGCCTGAAGGACACCAGCCTCGCCCACCGCACAGGCGCTCAGCTCTCTCATTATCTCACTACCAGCGAGGGGCCCAGCTCCAGCGCTTTTCCAGCTGGCAGCTCTGCACGCTCAGCCTCTACAAACTAACAGAAAAACCTCTGTGCTTCAGCAAAGAGGCTTCAGATTTTCTATGGCCTTCAAGTAACAAGTAATGAGAAATGGATCCATGAGGACTCACATCCCCAAATACATCAACTGTAAAATCTTACAGGCTACAGAAATGTGTCCCATGTTTAGCAATTTAGTTTCCACAGAGAATCAGGATGGTGACTGAATCCAAAGAGATTTTTGTACATCTAAACCCCATTTTAACTCACCTGGTCTGTGTACACATCTGGTGGCACCATTTTATTGAAGAAGTCTGAGCATACAGCTCCTGCCTGTAGGTAATAGTGAAGGGCTGCTGAATACTGATTTGTTGCTGCAGTAGAAAAAAGCAAAGTAAGGTCTTAAGAGTAAACACAGCAGTTGTTTATAAGGCTGAGATCAATTGTTTATGGAATTACTCATATATATACATCTCAGCTGAGTTCTACTGGGAAAGTGACTTGCCTATCATTGTTTAAAAAGCACAGACACACAAGAGGTCCTAAAACACTGACAGACAGAAAACTACACAATCAGGAAAACTAGCAATACAGGCAAAATTCTGCCTTTCGGGAATCACTTTTTACTTTATAGGTATTTGATCTTAAATCCATCAACCTTACGGTGGAAAAGTAGTTTGCCTTCACTGAACTCAGCACGCAGATGGTAGTGAGGGAGTTTAGATGCTGTAAGTTAGAGGGTCAGCTGATACCACCACACCCCATGGTTCAGCACATGTTTACTCCCAGTAAGACAGCCTTCCAGGGCTCTGCAGTCAGAGAAGTCTGCTTGTCCACACTGCTTCTGAAATACAGACCTGACACACCAGGAGTACTCCAACCATTGCCCTTTCAGGCAGCAGCTTCTGTGGCTTCCTACATAAACACTCTCCTTCTGGGTTGCTGTTCCACTTTGTCTGAGCAGCAAATACTGCCCATTTACAACCCTGAATCACTCCTGCACCTAAGGTGACAGCCCTGAACACAAGACCTCTTCCCTTCACCTGAAAGGATAAAAAGCCTCTTCTAGACAAATCTGTCTCCCTTGGAAGCAACAGGCTATGATTTCTGCACTACATCTTACTGCACACCACAGACATCCTTCCAGTCCAAAAAAAGAGGTCGGGACACATAAACCTTGGCTCCTGCAATAGCCCAAAGCACCAGCAAGCAGGGGACAGAGGGACAGCACATATCCTGTTTTACTGCCAGAAAAGAACTATCTGACTTAAATGCTAAATTTCACTAGACTGGTCTCAGATAAGTTAAAGAAATGCTCAAATACACTTGAGGACAGCTACAGCTATGTCCTTCTCCAGCACATGCACCAGGTAGTACCATACTTGTCTGGCTACCTTCTGAAAGCCCATTCATCAGCACCCACATCTCTCCACTCTACTCACACTAAAAAGTAAGTCTGGGTAACTGGCTCTAGACTGGGAAATAATTTAAGAAAGCACAGAATCACTTAGGCTGGGCAAGATTTCCCCAGGCAACTCCTGCCCTGGCACAGTCTGGGTGCACGTCACAGCACCCAGGATCTGAGACACATGTATGTTCCAATTCTGCTGGCTGCTCCCAGCTGAGGGAAGATAAGTACTGGGAAAGAAAGTAGGTGAAGACAGAACAACAGGGAAGAGCTTTCCAGATCAGCAGTTCATGCTTCCTTGTTTACAAATCAGATATTTCCCTATATAAAAATACAGAATCTCTCTGCTCATCTACTCCAGTGAAGGTGATCTCCACATTTAAAAGCACATACTATTGACACAACTTTCCATTCGCTTATAGAAGACTCTAAATTAGGGGTCACACTCAAGGACCAACCACACCCACTAAAAAAGTGACTGATGACCCTTACAGTAAAGTTCTCCTTACCCTAAAATAAGTCTGCATGACTCAGCCTCTCTGTGGGCTTAGACAAGCTCCTAGACAAAGTCA